CTGGGGACAGTGAGGGGACAGCAGGACGGCCGGGGGTGTAGGAGATGAGCTGGAGCAGGGGCATGGTGGGGACAGGCTGGGGACAGCGAGGTCTGGTTGGGGTCACAGGGTCCAGCTGGGGACAGGGGGTCCACTGAGGCCCAGCCCTGGACTGTGTCCTGGAGACATCCCTGGGGACTGACCTGGGGATGCTGGGGACATTCCAGGGACCCTGGGGACACCTGGGAACCCCGGTGTGCAGCCCGGGGACCCCGAGGCATCTTCTGGGGACCCTGGGGGACCCCCGGGACCCTCCAGCAGCACCTGGGTACCTCCGCATCACCCCTGAGTTCAGCCTGGGGACATCAACTCCCCTCCTCCCCGAGCTCGTGGGGACACTGGTGCCACAGAGCTGCGGGGACCTCGAGGACAGTTGGAGGGATCCGGGGGAGGGGCGGGGGTGTCGCTGCTCGGGGCTGTGTCCCCTTCGCTGCTTCGGGGCCTTCTCGGGGGCTCAGAGGGAGCTGGCAGTGCCACCACCTCCCTGCTGACTGTCCCCGCGTTATCCCCCTCACTGGGGGCTGCCAGGCCCCTTTGGCATCCCCTTCCTCCTCCTCGCGCTCAGGATGAGGCTGGCAGTGCCATCCCCCTTATCCTGCGCTGTCCCCGCGCTGTCCCCACGCTGTGCCCCTCACTGGGGGCTGCGGGGCCCCTTTGGCGTCCCCTTCCTCCTCCTCCTCCTCCGCCTCCTCCTCCTCCCCGCGCTCAGAGCGAGGCTGGCAGTGCCACCACCTCCCCCGCGAGTGTCCCCGCGCTGTCCCCACGCTGTCCCCGCGCTGTCCCCGCAGCCGAGGCTGGCAGCTGCCTGCAGGACGGGCACCGCTACAGCGACAAGGACGTGTGGAAGCCGGAGCCGTGCCGGATCTGCGTGTGCGACACGGGGACAGTGCTGTGCGACGAAATCATCTGCGAGGAGCTGCGGGACTGCCCCAGCCCCGAGATCCCCTTCGGAGAGTGCTGCCCCATTTGCCCCACCGAGCAGCCCAGTGGTTGTAATTTATTTATTTATTTCCCTTAATTAGCGAATTAATAAATAAATTACCCGGCCATGGATGGCGTCATCCATGCGGCAATGCGGGGAAAAGGCAACTTCACCCCCAAACAACGGGGAAAGATCGACCCCAGGGGAAAAAATCGAGGTTTTTAGCCCTGGTTGAAAATCTGGAGGTTTTGGGGGGGTTTTAGACAGAAAAAATGGGGCAAAGGGTGGTGCGAGGGGATTTTGCACCCCCAGAAGAAGGGTTTTGGTGGAAATGCCCCGAAATTGTGGGAATGCACCCCAAAATGAATGGAAACCTCACAGAACGCCACAATCCGGGTTCCCAACTGTGGGATTTCACCCCAAAATGAAGGAAAACCCAAACTCCACATCCCCCCCAAACCTCCAAAACCCCAAAAGTTGCCTTTTTTTAACCCTTCTCTGCCCCAGATGGGGGGAGGAATTAAAGGGTTGAGCACCCCCAAAAAGCCTTCCAACTGCCACAAAAAGCCCCCTCGGCCCCCTCGCTGCTGGTCCCGCTTTGGGGGAGCCCCCAGTGCCCCCCAGTTTGGCCCAACAGCCCTTCCAGGACGGAACCACCTCGTGTTGCCCCCACCCCAAATTCGTGTGTCCCCCTCCATTAATTTCTCTTTCTTTTCTTTTTTTGGGGGGGTTTCCTACAGGGCAGCCAGGCCCGAAGGTGAGCAAATTTGGGGGGCAATTGTCCCAAATTTTGGAGTGGTTTTTTTGGCTTTTGGGGTAATTGG